AGGTCCCTTCCAACCTTAACCATTCCGTGATTCATTCTGTGAAAAGTTTCTTGATTTACCATGTCCATCAGAAAAGGTTAGCTCAGACATTCCTGCAGATTTTCCTCTGGTGTGTATATATATATATATTTATACACAAACACACACATACACTCCTGTCCACCCTCTTCCCTGAACCCTATTTGCTGTGACTTATTTTCTAGTGTGATAGTGGTGTGGAAAGAGATAGGGGTGTTAAATGCAGGAATTTCTTCTGTGTTGCAGACTACCTGGTGAGTGTCAGTTGTTTTCTACCTACCAGTATTTAGTGGTTGGTCCAAAACCTGCACACTGAAGGTCAGAGCTGGCCTTCTGGTTTTATCTGTGTCTTTCAAAGGCTTAAGAGGCAAGAGTGTTTTTAAATCTATTTGTTTGGGTATCCGAAAGTGAGAAGTAGCCTGATCCTGGCAGTGCTCTGTTTTACCTACAGAGTTTGCCTGGATTCCCCACTGGTTCACCCTGCTGGTATCGAAGCAACCTTGCTTGTGCTGCTGAGACATTCTCTCTACAACATAAGTGGGAAGTGCAGCTCTAAAAACTCAGACTCCTTTAAAGCAGAGAAGGGACCAAGCAATTAGGCTGAATATTAAGATACACTGATTTTAGCTCTGTCACTCTCATCTGGAGTATTAGATTACTTTTCATTTTTCACTTTTGTTTACTTTTTATGGTCGAGCCATGTGTGGTGTGTTTCTACTGTGAGGGATGCCGTAGATTCTAGAGCAATTTCTAGGCAGAAACTTTGATCTGAGATATTTTTCAGGACTCTTTTGCCAGCTCCTGGGTGGCTTTAGGAGTTGAAATTGAAAGTGGTTAATGCTGCTTTTTGGTAATATTCACATTAAGCTCACTCTGGTGAATCCAGCTTTGTGACTGGATTGGTCAGTATACAAGGCCGTATGGTGACTCACATTCAATAGACTGTTATCTAGGTAGAATCCAGGTAGAAACTGTATTCACCAGCTGTGAATATGACACTTTATTTCGGATTACCATTTGTTTTTAAATGCAGGGACGTGGGATATCACAGTAGTAAAATCTTGTTCTGTGGCCCTTGGGACTTGATCGGAGCTGTCCAGGGAGTTATGTGAGCAGTCTGTCTTTGTTTCCCTTTGAATTGTGCTTCCACTTTCTTAGGTATTTTGAAGGCTTAAAAGTGTGCTGCCATTGCTCATGTGTTGGTCTTTTTCCTTTGAGCCACACTTCATTAATCACATTCCCTTTCAGAGCATAGTGACATTTGCGGTCTTTATATACCAGCATTTTAGGGAGTGATGTCAGAGTGTTTTGCTGAACGCTTTCCAAGCTATTGCTTCATCTCTCTCTGAAAAAAAAAAAAAAAGCCCCCACAGCAAATTCTTTCTGTTAGATTTTCTCACACAATGTAATTTCTTGTATGTTCCAATGACCAACAAATTCAGGGAATTTGCTGCTCCCTCAGTTCGAGGTGCCTGGAGAGGCCCCGTGAGGGATGCGGAGCCAGCAGCCTCCTTTTCTGAACAGCGAGGGAGTTTCAGCTCGAGCCTGCCAGTGCATGGCCTGGGGAAGGGAGAAGCCTTTCCTGGTTTTGCATTAATTTGGAGACTTGTTTCTGGTTTCTCCTTTGCTGCTCCACAGTTGACAGAACTTTTCACTGTGCTGCTCTGAGCACTCCTGCAGTGACAGGAGCAGGCATGATGCACATGCAGGGGGACTGGTCTAGATAATCTACCTAATATTTCCAGAAGCTTGCTTATATGTTGTCTACCTACCAGAACCTCAAATTGAATTCAGCTGGAGGTCTGCGTGTCTGATGAATGCAGAATGTGGACCTGAATGTTGTAGGAATGCTAAAAGCAAGCACAGGTACCTGCACACATCCGTGCGCCAAGCATAGGTTGTGTGGTGCAAGCTAGAGCACTGAAATGCTCTGCTAAAGCCAGCGTTACACTCCATATAATATCATCTATTTTCCAGCACTACATCAGTGAATTGAAGCAGTTCTTAATGTATTTAACAGAGAAAAGTGTATGTTCACATCTGCATTTATGCAGCAAAGGATCAAGCTGATAGAGGAAAGCCGCTTAAAGAAAAGGACTTCGGTGAAAAGAAGAAAGGAAAAACCACACTGTGAAAAAAGTCTGCTATTCTGTTGTCACAGATCTTGAAAGGGGATAAATGAATCCTGCTTTAGCTGTTGCAAGTAATCATCAAAAAACTCTAATCTCTCTTCTTCCATCAGCTTTCTGTCATCTTTACTCTTCCTTTCAGCACTGCATTTGCTAATTGTGACTCCAGCTGAATCTCTCTTAAAATGAGTAGATGCTTTCTCACTGGAGCCAGTGGAGTTAACATTGGGCTTTAAGTGATGTGGCTTTTGTTCTATAGGGGCTGTAACTGCCATTTGACATCTCTTTCCACCATTTGTCAGAGTTTACCACTCTCAATATTGCTAGCAGAAATGCTCCAAGTGCAGGGTGTTACAACAAAAATGTCTGGATGCAGTGTCCTTTTCCAGCCTTTAATAAACCTCCTGTGATGAGCAGCATTGATTAACGTGTAACTTAACTTCCATAACATCAGGCATCATGACATAACTCATATATAAAGGCACAACTGATTGGCTTTCATATCATAATCTTTTAGCTTTGGTTTATTTATTTTTTATTAAAATACTTGCCTTTCCTGTTTGCAGATAACACGAAGAGCAAATCCTCAGAGGAAAGTCCTTCCAGATGCTGCTGGAAGGCTGGCGTGCCATTCCTCGCGGCAGACGATGCCGCAATTTGTCCATTGTCTGCTGTAAAATGAGCATCATAACGCTGATACCCCTTTCAGTCTGTTTTCAAAGCCCCCCAGAACCAGAGGCCACTTTCCACGGGGTTTATTTATGCAGGACTGGCAGAGGTAAGGGTGAAACTCAGACTGGGCTTGATGTTGGGCAGATGCCCAGAACTGCTGCAGACTCAGCCAGAGTGGCGGGCACCCTGCATGGGACCTGTGAGAATGGTGAGAGATGAGGGTTTATTTACAGTTTTATTTAAACAGTGGAAAAAAGGGGATGGTGTCTTTTTCAGTACATATGTATTGCCTGGCAGAGTCTCAGCAGCAAGACTACCCAGAGTGGGTCCATTTGAAGGCTCCTGCAGCTTCCTCTGCTGTCTGCTATGGTTGTCTGTAGCAGAGGCTGGCAGATAAACATCAGAGCAGGACAAGTACAGAGCGATCCCCTCTCACGTCCCTCCCCACACCCAGCAGAGCAGGGCCCAGGTCCTCCCGAGCCGGAGGCAGCAACGCGGGTTCTGCGTTTCAAGCAACACGTGTTAGCAATCATCCCAAGATGAGCAGATTTTCAGAGCAAATCCAAAGCGAGGTTTGGTTTTCATAGTGGTGCATTGTGTTTCTCTCTGTCGCGTCGCTGAGCAGGGACGGTGGAGCCGCGGGGCCGCTCTCCAGCCCGGGCGCTGCAGGGTGGCGCTGGCCGGGAGGACACAGCGCTGCTAAAGCAGCATGTGCTTTGTCAGAATCTAAAATGCTCTCTGTAAAGACCCAGAAGCCAGATGTGGCTGCTGCTAGCACCCCACGAGACCTCCAGAAAGCCAGCCGGCATTGAAGCAGAGGACAAAATCCCAGTGGTCTCTGTGTGGCTGGCATTTCAGCTGTTTTATGTCCTATAAGGTTTGGTTTTACTTTTTAAATCTGTTTGAAAGGCCAGTGTAGATCCCGAGTGGCTGGAATGATTTGGCATGAACAGTGCAGGTATTAGATGGCTTTTCCTCTTGACCTTTTGGTGAGGATCAAGTGCAGTGTCTATTTATACCCTGTTGTTGAGAGTCGCTGCCCTGCTTTCGCAGACAGGGCGGCTCATGAGCTGAGCAGACCCCTTCTTGCTCAGACTGCTCTGCTTCTCCCAGCTAAAGGAGTAATTGAATGCAGAGAGGGGAGAAAAGGCTGCAGTCCCCCTATATCTCTGCCTTACAGCAGTTGAGGTTCTGCAGCAGACACACCAGCTTGGCCATCAGGGGATATTATAAATAACAGATTTTTGTTGTTGTTGTTGTTGTTTTGTTTTGTTTTAAATAGCAAGGAAGAAAATGTCCAGCTTCCCCCACCCCTTTGTGCTCTGTTTGTTTACCTCCAAGGAACAGCCTGTGAGCACCAGGCCCCTTGTAAAGGCCAAACTCGCCCTCCTCTGAGCCGGGAGCAGGGAGGAGATGGACGTGGGTCTCTGGACGTGTTTCCTTGCATTGTGTTTGGCTCTGGGTTTGATCCACCGCTGGGAAGCCCAGCAGAGCTCCTCGCTCTTGGTAGGACCGGGTTGTGACTATCTGACAGCAGGGAGCCTGGAAGCAAATGCAACAGCTTGCTCTTGCAAACCTCTAAGCAGAAGCATTTTGACTGCATTCCACAGAAGTGGAAGGCTTTCTGCCTGCGTTAGCAGCATTTTTTAAAAAAAATAGTAGTAGTTGATTTTTCCTTTGAATCGGTCAGCCTTGATATGGATGCAGAGGGGAGTGTCACTAATGTGTTTTCCCTGAACTTAGATGAGGTAATGGCTGGCATTTAAGTTTTTTGCTGCAGGCAGAATTAGCTCTTTCACAGCTAAACAAGTCCTGTTAGTTCTTCCCTGGCCTGTGGACTGAAAAATGCCATTTATAACCTGAATAGGAGCAGGGATCATTTTATCAAACACAGATCGGTTTGGTTAATGAGTTCCTGTGTGTGTGGGACAGGGCTGTGCAGAACAAGGAGCCGGGAGGCTGGACGCCTGCCCGGCCACGGCCACGGTGAGCAGCGTGGGGCGGCCCCTGCACCCCGGGTTACCCTTTTGTGAAGCTCTGGTAATAACAACAGCCTAATTCACACAGCGTTTGAAGTCTGAATAGTGTTGCAATTGAATGTTGCAACGGTTCTATGATTCTGTGATAGAGAGCAAGGGAGAGAGAGAAGGGGAGGAGGGAGAAAGGTAGCAATTAGGGAATTAGAAATTGCTGTGATAAGAAAGTATTTGAAAGACTGATAATTCAGGCCAGTTTCAAAACAGTACTTTGCTAGGTTGACTTTTCACTAATGATACCCACTACCAATGGTTAATTCTTATTATATCTGGAGCGCTGTGCCCAGTTCTGGGCTCCCACTATAAGAAAGGCAGGGACTTACTGGAGCGAGTCCAGCAAGGAGTCATGGAGATGCTGAAGGCACTGGAGCATTTCACATACAAGGAGTGGCTGGGAGAGCTGGGGCTGTGCAGCCTGGAGAAAAGGCAGCTCAGGGTGATCTGGTCAATATGCATAAATAGTTCATACAAGGAGTGGCTGGGACAGAACCTTCTCACTGGTGCCTAGTGAAAGCACAAGAGGCAATGGCTGAAAACTGAAATCAATGGCTGAAAACTGAAATACAGGAAACTTCATTTAACATAAGGAAAAAAAAAATTACCGTTATAGTGGTCGAACACTGCACATGTTACCCAGGGAGCTGTGGAGCCTCCCTCCTTGGAGATGCTCAGAACCTGACTGGACATGGCCCTGGACAACCTGCTCTAGTTGACTCTGCTTTGAGTAGAGGCTTAGACTAGATGTCTCCAAAGGTGCCTTCCCACCTCCCACCTTCCTCACCTCATTCTCTGAGTCAGTTATTGCCTCTACATACTCACACATGCATCAGACAGTCCTGAGCAGCCTTGATCCTGAACTGCCTGGGAGCTGAAGCCACCTGCTTTACACTGGTGCTGCAGTCCCTGATGGCCCCTGTTACAGGGGCCAAGGTGGCCAGGCTCAGGAGCATCCCTTAGGGAAGGGAGCGCCGCAGGAGGAGACTTCTTTTTTCCCTCGCTGGTAGTGTTTGCCTGCTTTTCATCCCCTCCACAAGAAAAGACATGAGTGGAAGTGCAGCTCCTCTGCTTCTGGAGGAGCTTATTCATCTCATTTTCATCTTATTTTTAGGACCAGGACTTGTTCTGGTTTCTCCAAGGCATCTTTCTTGCTTGTTCCACAGGGATGTTCTGGTTCTACCAGACATCTCTCCCACCTTTTCAACATCCTGTCTTTCTACTTTGCCAGCTTTGCTGCTTGCACATTTTCCTGTACCACTTTTGTGCAAATATACCACAAATTTCCCTCTGTCCCTTTGGCTACATATTATTTATGCATTTATGCCTAACTGTGTCTCAAAATGCTTATACATTGCGGCTCATTATGTTGTTAGTAGTTTCACAGCATTATAAAATATGTAAATGGTGCTGTGTTGCTGGCTGGGCTATTTTAGAGTAATTATATCTGGTTTCAAGACAAGCAGATACTAATTTTATCATGTGCTTCTACTTATGGGTGCCATAGGCTGCTGATTTGGTGACAGTGCAGGGCGCAGCCCTGTGGCTGCTTCTCTGGCCGGGCTGTCTCGGGAACCTCCGTTCTGCAGCACAAATACAGCATTTCTCCTTACTACGAGAGTTGTCTTTTCACCTGTGACTTGGCATTTTCCCAGTGAACCCTCCTTGGTTGCTGAGGCAGATTTTCCCTGGTACTTTCAGAAAGCTCGCATGTCTCATGACTCCCGTCTTGCGTTCTGCCCTGGAGTTAAACTGAATTTTAATTGTTTGGTTTCATGGGAATAAGCAGCTTGCATCTGGATTAAAAGAAGTCTTCAGTCTGGGATTTAACTGATGCTTTTGCATTTACTGAGTTATTTCAGGGCAAGGTGCCAAATGTGTGAATCCTCCACACAGATGTTAGTAGCAATGAATTTTATCTGCATCCCATTAATGTAAGTTTTAGACGGGAAGTTGTTGTCTGCACTGAATGGCCTCCAGTTGCTCTACAGGCTCGGCGAGGGTCTGGGTTAGTACCGTGCCGCTCACTACATGGCCACCCACCCTTTCCAAAGGGACCAATTCTCTGCAGCAGCCACAGAAGGTCTCAACACCATGGATGGGATACACTGCGATGAAGAATTAGATCCTCTCCCCTAGCTTTCTGCAGGCCATGTTCAGGTAAAGCCTGACAAAGAGGCATCCTGGTAACTTAGGATCTGAAGCTAGAACTCAAGAGTTTAAAATTTTTAGCTTTCTTTTTCCACGTGACTCTTGGGGACACAGTCATTTTTGCTGCAGTACTTTATTGCTACTTTTTCTGTGCCAGATAACTAGATCCAGTCCATAAGGCACCCCAGCTCTGCTCTCCATCTTCCAGCATAGGAACCTGTTGGTCATCTCCTCTGGCAGCCTGCATGCCCACACTCAGGTGGTGTCCTTCCACCTCCTGGCTTTGCCGGGGATCAGGGGCCTTTGGGTATCTGCGCCAGGAGGGATTTGGATTAAATCCAAATCTGCCTTATGTTTACTCTTAGCCTCCCTGATTTCTGAGGACTCCTTCAGGCTAGTGCTCTCCAGGATCTTAAAGTATTATTAATTACACAGAGTGTATGTATAATTTGGCCCTGAAATGCACATGCAGAGTGGGATGTGTTTGCTGTCCAAAGGGAAGAGAAGTACAGTTTGGGCCAGGTAGAGTTACTGGAGGATCGGGGTGAGTTGCCAGCAAGAACCAACCTGGAAATAGGACCTCATAGTACTGCTTTTGTAGAAATAACCACCAGGAATTATCAAGGTGTTGGCCTGTAGATGAGCTGGAAGAGAGCATCTCCTTCAGTGCTGAATGCACTGGATGATCAGAGCTTTCTTGTCTCCTAGGAAGAGTTCTTATTTACTGAATGGCCACTTGCTTTTCTTACAATATTCTGGTCATCTGCCATTGAAGGAGCCATTGACTGGCTTTAGCCTGCAAGAAAATTTGTTTCCTAAGGAGGGCTGTTTGCTCATTTAAAAACATGAGATGCTATTTGAAGTATAAAGCCATTCCAGGAGAGATCACCATAGCTGGAAGGGAAATACGCTATAGAATAGGAGAGGCTTTAAACCAGACTTCTAAAATAAGCATATTTAATCAAATCCAGCAAGTTATAAAGAATTGTGTAGCATACTTGATTTTACTCTAGGTTGCATCTGAACTCCTCTGGGACACAGTGCTCGACACAAGGCAAGTCACCGCTGCCTTCCTGAGGCTCTTGCTTACCCACAAGACAGGGCGAAACCAGAGGTTAGCCATTAAACCTACTTTTTTATGCTTAAAAACAAGTACAGCAACTTACAGTTTGAAAGAACAGAACTCAAGTAAATAAGTGAAAATGACAGTGATGGCCTCCAGGAGGAGCTCCTTAAGGACCAGGCTATTTTTCATGTGTGTCCTCAGTTTCCTCTTGCAAGAGCATCCATCGGCAGAGCAGCTGCTCGGGGTGGATTGGGATTCCTGAATTATTAGAGATGTTTCCCAGCTCCCTGCATGACTTTATGTCCCCTCCTGTTAGACAGAATTTGTCTCTTCTCCTGCAGTAGCAGCATAAACAAATATATCACCCCTTCAAGCTGTCACAGCTTGCTTGAGGTGAGCAGAAGTGCGTCCATCGTGGGTCACAGAGCTGAGACTCACAAAATCACAGAATGGTTAAGGTTGGAAGGGCCCTCTAGAGGCCACCTAGTCCAGCCCCTCTGCTCCAACAGGGTCACCTAGAGCACGTGGCACAGGGTGGCATCCAGGTGGGTTTGGAAGATCTCCAGAAAAGAAGACTCCACAGCCTCCCTGGGCAGCCTGTGCCAGGGCTCTGTCACCCTCACAGGAGAGAAGTTCTTCCTCACATGGAGCTGGAACTTCCTGTGTTTCAACTTGTACCCATGAACCCTTGTCCTGTCACTGGCCACCACCAAGGAGGCAGCACGTGGCACAGGGTGGCATCCAGGTGGGTTTGGAAGATCTCCAGAAAAGAAGACTCCACAGCCTCCCTGGGCAGCCTGTGCCAGGGCTCTGTCACCCTCACAGGAGAGAAGTTCTTCCTCACATGGAGCTGGAACTTCCTGTGTTTCAACTTGTACCCATGAACCCTTGTCCTGTCACTGGCCACCATCAAGGAGGCTTTGGCCCCATCTTTTTTGCATTCTCCCCTCAGGTATTTGTACATATTGATCAGAACCCCTCTCAGTCTTCTCTTCTCCAGACTAAACAGGCCCCGCTCGCATAGTCTTTCCTCAGATGACGAATGCTGCAGTCCCTTAATCGTCTTTGTGCCTCTCTGCTGGACCCTCTCTAGCAGCTCCATGTCCCTCTTGTACTGGGGAGCCCAGAACTGCACCCAATACTCCAGGTGCGGCCTCACCAGAGCTGAGCAGAGGGGCAGGATCCCCTCCCTCGCCCTGCTGGCAACGCTCCTCCTGATGCAGCCAGGAGCCCATTGGCCTTCTTGGCCACGAGGGCACATTGCTGCCTCATGGTTAATGTGTTGTCACCCAGGACTCCCAAATCCCCCTCCATGGAGCTGGGCACAGATATGGGGTAGAAAGTGTCTGCTGCTATTGCCATAAACAACACAATTTTTCTGAATTTGTGAGCAGGGATCATACATAACCTAAATTTGGGAGAAACATCCAAAGCTTTTGGGTGGTGGTATCCTACTCGACTTAGATGAACTGGTTTTCACACATCATTGATTAATATTGCGCCTCTTGCTAATCTAGATGCATTCATTACTTAGGATGGATTTTTGGGGGGCAATATATTAGAAAATACTTGTTCCTGTCCATTTTGAAGAAGGAAAGAAATACTTTCATTCCATATATAGGGAATGGGTTTTAAATAGAGGAACTTGAGCAATATGTTTATAATCATGTTTAGAAAATTTGGCAGCAAGCTGCACAGAAATCTTTTTGGAAATGGTCTTCCTTTATCGTCCCCAGCATGCTTTGGTTTTGGCTGTGCTTCAACTAGAAGTTTTTCCATCTAGCTTGAGGTTTTTTATATTTGTTTTTATTTTAAGTGATGTGATTAGCTAAGAGTTATTATTATTACTTGTTTTGTTTTCAAAGCCTTTCTCCCTGTTAGGATAAGACTTCAGATTGTTAGATTCAAAACATTAAAAAATAATCAAATAGACCTTTCAGCATCTTATGCTGATTTATCTGCTTATTTGCACCTCATTCAGTTTGGGCAAAGAAATTAGACTGGCCTGTTTTGCTTTCTTGTCTGAGGATCATTTGCTAGTGCTTTGTGGAGAGGCAGCTGAGGGCTTGAGGCCAGATTTTCAAAGGTGCCAGATGCCTGAATATGCAGAGAGCTAAAAAGTTTTCAAAAGCTTTTTGTCTAAGCTCCATGAAATGATAAAAATCAAAGCAGGGTGGGTATTATCTATTTTATCTTTAAGTTATAAGTTATGGAGCTCTGGAAATCTGTTCCATGGTAGCGTCCTTCTGGAATGCATTAAATTTTAAAAAAAATTGGAAAGGAAGGTGAAGTCAGGAATGCTCTCGGTACTGTTTTCTACAGAAAAAAAAAAGGCAGGGGGAGGGTAATGAGCACATTAACAAATGCATAAATTCCTTTTTAATATTACTCTTCCAAGTAATAATTGCCCTGAGGATAGTGTACTGCACTAAGTGGAAGAGAAGATATTGTAGAAAACAGTCTATCAAAAAGCAGAATGGAGCCTGCAATTTCCCCCAGCATTTCTGGATGCCACTGAATCCTCCTCCATGAAATTCCAGTGCAAATGTTTGACAGGCCATGCTCTGCTTAGTATAACTTTCCTAAAGGAGACTGAAAGAATTGTTTCTGTATGAAAGGATTCTCCAAAGGATTTAGTCTTTTTTTTTTCTTCTTATCTTATTCCTGTCCTGAAGATTGCAGTAATTTATTGTGAATTGACAGTCAGTGTATACTTATTTACATACCTTTAAAGTGCATGTGCACATATGCACATCCAAACATTCCTGTTGGCAAAGAGGAAGAAGATTGGTATTTTTTGCACACATTGCGTTACTAGTAAAAGGAAACAGGATGGATTTGAAAGTAACCATTCATATGCTTATTCTGATAGATGATCCTTCAGCAATTGACCTCAGCTTGTACTGGAAGGCCTCCACAGAGGAGTGGAGAAGCTGGAGAGGAGATGAGGAACCTCGGTTGGGGGCAAAGTAACTGGAGTCTGGAACAGACTGCCCAGAGAGGCTGTGGAGTCTTCTTCTCTGGAGATCTTCCAAACCCGCCTGGATGCCACCCTGTGCCATGTGCTTTGGGTGTCCCTGCTGGAGCAGGGGGGTTGGACTAGATGATCTCTAGAGGTCCCTTCCAACCTCAACCATTCTGTGGTTCTGTGAAGGTGAGCAGGGGGGTGGTCCCAGTGACCAGGGGAGGTCTCCTCCTGTCTGGGGTGAGAGCCAGACAAGCTGGGGCATCTGACCCGCACTGGGCCTGGTTCCTCCAGCTGGAGCAGCTGCCCTGACACAGGTGCCTTTCCATATTGGCTTCCCCTGGGCCTCCCGAGGCCGGAGCTGGAGGTCTGCGCTCGCGGGACACGCACTGAGCGTGGAGCCAAAGCCAGTAGCACCAGAGGGCGTCTCAGCGTGGAGCTCGCTTGTTTGGAGCACTTTGACCACCTCACCAGATGGATCAGGTGATTCTGGGGGGTTATCATCCATATGCCACCGCTCTCCTCACCAGTAAGCACCCGGTGTTTGCCATACTGCATCGATTAGCTTCTCCTATTGTAGCTGAATTTCCTGTGAATACGTGGTTATTAAGATGGTTAGAGTCCACAGTGCACCACCCCATCCCAGATGGCTCCAAAGTATTTATCTGAGAGGATTTGATGCTGGTGCTGACAATCATAGTTTGGGTGGACAGATGGAAGCACAAGTTTTGCTATTTAAGCACTCCTTAGAAATCCAGGCAAAGAGTGTTCTTTGGCAGTAGTGAGAGAAGCAAGCTGAACTTCTGCAAACAGCTGTGTTGCACCAAGGCGACCACCTCATCCAGAAAGAGGCCCTGCTTGTACACTGTCAGCACCCAGTCCTGGGGATAACATGTTTCCTGAAAAAAAAAAAAAAAAAAAATGTAGTCAAAGAATCCGCTGTACCAGGCTATAAAATCTGTAATGCTTTTAGGGTTTGCCAAAAGGCAAAGAAGACGTTTGTTTCTGTCTTTGTGGAAATGAAAGCAAAGCGGAAGAAGAAGAAAACTGAAGTGAAAGAAACAAGGGGCAGAGCTGGACTGATGCATGTGAGTCATTTCCCCAGAGCAGTATTTGGTTTTCCAGGAGTAGGGGGTTGTCTTCTCCATTAAAATGAAGTTACTGGGGCTGGCTTTTCCTCCCCTCCATCTCCTGGCTTCCTCTTCTCTTCTCTTGCCCCGTCCTCCCATAAAAGAAGCGTGAACACAATGACTGGTGTTTTTTTTTTTTTTCCAACATGGTCTATCCTAATATATTCACAGAAGAGTTTGATTTTGCAATGCAGACAGGAGCAGATGGTTTTAATCACAAAAAAAAAAAAGAAAAAAGAAAAGAAAAAAGAAAAGAAAAAAGAGAAAAGAAAAGAAAGGAAAAGAAAGGAAAAGAAAGGAAAAGAAAAGAAAAGAAAAGAAAAGAGAAAAAAGAAAAAAGAAAAGAAGAGAAAAGAAAGAAAAACTTTCTCAGGCATCATGAAAGCAAACCTGTATTCTGTACCTCTGGGTTATGTTTTATCTGTGTTGGAAGGTCATCTAAAGACATCCTGAACAATATACAGAGGTGGTTCCCGAAAGTAGTGAAGTAAAACAAGGCCAGTGTTATACCAGTGAAAAGCTTATTGAGGCAAAAATGTCATCAGATTGCAACAAGAGAGAGGCTGTGGAAAAAGCTATCAGCTCATTTGGGATGGGACATACAAAAAGAAATAGTGTAAACTTGGTGTTTTAACCAGTGCATTTGGTTGTGCTGTACTTGGTGTTGTGTGGAAGGAGACATGGGGCTGGGGCAGCATTTCAGAAACACTCTGCTTGCCCCTTGGCCCTGTGTATGTTGCTCAGGGCACTTAGCAGCAGTTTCAATCACTGCTCCTTCCCTCACAGCCCCCTGTGGTCCCTGCTGATCCGTGAGACAGTTTTGCTTCCTGAACTCCTGTTGCTTCTTGTACAGCAATGAGGCAAGGATGGTCCCAGCTGAAGGGAAAAGCTTTTAAATAAGTCAGTGCCCACATTCAGTGACCTTCAAATGGTCATTAGAACAGCCCTTGAGTCACCCAATTGCTGACAGACCATTCTTTCTCCTGATCATCCAGTTAGTTTTAGTTGTGCATATCCCTTAATAAATAATCCTAATAGTCCCGTTCATACTCCTCAGGATAATATTTTTTCTACTAGTGTATTTACGATGGGCTAAAAGTGTTTGCTTTGCACTGTGCAAGCTCTTCCTACAGATTATATATACAAGAGAGAAATAATAAATGATGAAGCCAGATATATAAAGCTGCTCATCCAATATTTTTGTAGACTTGGGTCATTTAGCAGTTGGTTGAGGACATCTTGGCCTTCCGTATCAGTATACAGCAACAATACTTTCACTTCAGTATATTTTGCTGGTTGTCTATCTGCTGGGGAAAACAAGGGAAAAGATGGTAATGACAGACAATTTCATCAGTTTAATCCATTCTAAAAAGAAAAAGCAAACAGCAGGTACTAGATGACAGGCCAGAGTAGCCTAATCCTTTTAAAATTAATTTGTCCTGCATTTTTGATAAATTCTCCAATTCCCTCCAGTAATGACACTGTCTCTCATGTTTTGTACGTGCATATGCTTCGTTTAATTCATATGCTTGGTGAAGCACATTGTTTCAATTAAGCCCCAGCAAGTTTAGAAGCAAGAGCAAAGGAAGGCCCAAGGGAGCTGATATCTACAAAACCTAGCGGTGACACTGTTTGTGCTTCTTTCAAAATATCCTTGTATGTGGCTAATAATTCACCCAGTATTGGTAAGTGATTTTTTTGCACTTCCAATGCATTGTCGTTTTAGAATAATGCACAATCTGAGAAATGTTCACAAATGCATTTTTTTTAAATGAGTATAGTAAATGCTTGTAGTTTAGCCACACATATTAGTTCTTTATGAAGCTCTATAATACTTTTAACTTTCTGATAAATATCTTCTCCTGCTTCTGGCAGAGTTAAAGAGCAGAACTGCTGTTGGACTTAGTGGGAGTCATTTTTGCACAGCACTGTTGTATGTGAAACAGAAAGGCACTAGGAAGTGTGTTCATGAGTCAGAGCTCACCAAAAGCACTCAGAGCCCTCCCAGTGACTTTGGATTAGCTTTGTTAGGAAGTGGCCAGTGTAAAACATACCTGATAATCACAAAAAGTGCCCTGCTTTGGACTAAAAGCAAACAGGATGTAATTCTACAGTAGAAGAGCTGTGTAGTGGCCCCTTTTTTATATGGTAGATGTACCTGGAAAAAAGAAGAAAATGAAGAAAGAGACTTGAGGGAGCTGTGCAGCTGACAGAGTGCAAACCAGACGGGGGCAGCTGATGAGGTGCAAGGATCCTGTATTCTGCTGTTCTGCCCCGAGCTGAAGCAAAGAGAAGATCTAGAAGACTCCTCAGCAGATGGACGAGGAGACCAGGAGCAGTGAGTTACAGTGAGAGCCTGTGAGAGAACGGGCAGAATGGCAACACTGTGCCCAGAGGTGCTGTCGAAACAGAATGACTGTTAATAACCAAACATTGACTGTGATTTAAAACCTGTTCAGTGGATTTGGATCAGTTGCATTAAACCCTTCCAGTTTTTCACTGTCACATTGTTTGCCAGTTTGTAATGTTACCTGCTGTTGCAGGAATGGCTGGATTGTACTTTGCTTCCAGGGCGGATCTGGTCAGTCTGGTCTCCTCTGGTGCTTTTGCAGATGTGCTCATGACAGACTAACCTCTGTTAGAAGAAAGTACTGTTCAGAGTCAATGGAAGAGATCATTCCCAAATCTTACGCATCTTTTAAATTCCTGTTGGCTGCTAGTCTCAAACTTTTGTCTCATACATTGACATATTTATGATTTTCACCCTATGCTCAGGCTAGCTTGCTCTACAAGTGAAATTTTTAAGGGAGTTTTTAAACT